GCTGTGGCCTGCAGCACAGGCTTCGAGGGATTAAGAATAAGTGTTGGACCAAACTTTCTGAAAAATTCAGCTGTATACAGAAAGTGGAGACATCAGGGTCTTCTATGAAGCGTTAAAATCAGTATACAGCCCTATATATCAGGTCCAGAGTCTTATGCGCAGTGCAGGCGGTAAGATGCTCCTTACAAACAAGGCGTTCATCCGAAACAGTTGGTCGGAGCATTTCCAGGCCCTCTTCAGTGCAAATCGCTCGGCCTAGTAACCAACAATTCTCTGCATACCCCAACAAGCAGTAAAAATAGAACTGGATGAGTTGCCCACTATTGAAGTGAATGGAGTATGGCCATGCAATAGGAGTTGATGGAAACCCACCTGAAATCAGAAAACATAGGTGTCCAGAGGGACATATGTGATTCCACATGTTCTTTTGCTGTTGTTGGAAGCAGGGGAAAATATTACTAGGTATCCGCGATGCAGTCATCATTGCCCTGTACAAGAACAAAGTGTAAAAATCTGACTGCTCCAATTACCGAGGTATTGCTCTGCTCTCCATCGAAGGAAAGATCCTTGCCAGGCTTCTGCTGAACAAGCTAGTAGTCACCATCACGGAACAGCACCTTCCAGATAGTCAGTACGGCTTCAGAACCAACAGAACAACATACATGTTGTTTGTAGGATTCATTGCTCTAACAAAATCATTCTACACAGTAAGCAGAACAAGAATGTTGCAGATCATGGGGCGACTCTTCCAAAGAGCCTGAACATGATCATCTAACTGCAGGAGGATCGGCGTGGCCAAGTTAGACACAAGGGTGTTCACTCAAAGCCCTTCTCGATCATCAATGTTGTAAAGCAGGGTTGCGTTCTTACACCGACACTCTTCACTATGTTCTTCAGCATGATGCTCAAGGAAGCCGCGAAGGATCTTGATGAAGAGGGCGGACTCTACATCAGATAGTGTCTCGATGGTGTTTAATTCACGACGATTAAAAGCCCAGACGAAGACTAAGGAATATCTTATCCGAGACCTCTGCTTTGCTGATGATGCTGCCCTTGTTGCTCACACAGAATCTGACAAACTTTTGGGACTTGAAGTCAATTTAAAAAAGACTGAAGTATTCTACCAGACTCCACCTCGAGATGACTATCGCCCTCCCCACATCATCATTGGCGCAACTGAGGCTGAAGGCAGTCGATCGGTTTACCTGCCTTGGATGTATCATCATATCAAACGCTAGGATCTACAAGGAGGTCGACAACAGACTGGCAAAGGTGAGTATTGCATTTGACAAACTGTACAAACGTGTGTGGTACAAGAGACATCTGAAGAAGGACACTAAGATCGGATGGCATAGAGCTATCGTCCTCGCCACTCTCTTATACAGTCATTGGTTACTTACCGATACCATCTTCGACGCCTCGAACGGTCCCACCAGCACTGCTTCCGCACGATCGTTAACATCCACTGGAGTGACTTCGTCTCCAATACTGAAGTCCTTGAAAAGGCAAAGATCACCAGCATTGAGAGAAGTCCTAGTTATGCTTGGAAAGACGTGTTTCCAGAATCATCGCCTGCCTAAAGTTTTATTGTACGGAGAGCTCTTTACTGGCTATCACGGCAGAGGGGCACCATAGAAGCGATTCAAAGATTGCCTGAAAAAATCCTTCGTTGCCTGTCACATCAACTATTGCCAATGGTCAACCCTAGATGAGAACCGTCTCCCCACAAACTATGATGTCTCCTTCTTTGAAAACACCTGCAGGGCCGCTCTCAGGAAAAGAGGCAGAAGAGGAAGTACTGCAGTGCGATGCCATCGAGCCCAGGCCGGACGTTCAGCTGCAAATACTGCGACTGTTTATGCCGGGACATTGGACTTATCAGTCACAAACCTGCTTGCAAGCGACGTGTACAGACTCCCTCTTGATCTTTGTTTTGCGAAGCCAAGCCATGATGATGATGATGATGATGATCTTTCTCTCTCACTCTCACTTTCTCTCTTCATATATATATATATATATATATATATATATATATATATATATATAAGACATATCAGCTATTACCAATGATCAACCCTTGCTGGGAACCGTGATGACAGGCGTATCACCCCCAACCATACTATCCCTTTCTTTGAAAATACCTTCAGGGCCGCTCTCAGGGAGAAGAAGCAGAAGCGAAAGTACTGCAGTCCTATGCCATCGAGCCCAGGCCGGACTTTCATCTACAAATACTGCGACCGTTTATGCCTGTCCTGTATTGGACTTATCAGTCACAAACATACCTGCAGCGACATGTACAGTCTCACTCGTGATCTTCGTTTAGCGAAGCCAAGCGATGATATATATATATATATATATATATATGTGTGTGTGTGTGGGGGGGGAAATATATAGAAAATAGGAAAGAACTCGTTAGGTAAATAATCCAAAGTTCTTTAGTATTTGTGTTATTATTTTAAAAAAACAGTGCTTTTGAAACATGAGAACTATTATGTAGCGATGGAATCATATTTTTTGATAAATAATTATATATATATATATATATATATATATATATATATATATTTATATATATATTATATATATATATAACCAATTAATCTGTTGTATTACTATGATTATAAAGAGCATATATATGTTTTGCTCTTTGTAGAGGTTTTATTTTTTCCATCGATCAAATGGCAAAAATTGACTTTTAACAAAGAAAAGTTTAAAATTCAAAATCCTCACATGACTCCTATACAAAGACGCGTCAAAATATGTTTCAGCATATGTACATAGATGCATGTACATTTTACACATAGATACATAATTATATAAATGCCTGCAGGGCCTCTCTCGCGGACAAGCGGCAGAAGAGGAAGTAATTCAAGGCTATGCCATCGAGCCCAGGACAAACTTTCATCTACAAATAATGCGACCGTGTATACCTGTCCCGCATTGGACTTATCAGTCACAAACGTGCCTGCAAGCGACGTGTACAGACTCCTTTTTGATCTTCATTTTGCTAAGCCAAGCTATGATGATGATGATGAAGAGAAGGTGAATATATATATCCATAAATACAAACGCGTACATGCATACACTCTCAAATGCACCCACATATACACACACGCAAATGTGTGTGTATACATATACACACATTTGAACACTAATGAGTATGTCACAATCCTCATCAATACGTTGAACACGATTATAAGTTGGGGTAATATGCTAAGTAGTCCACCATTAGCAGTGGTTTACGTACTTCACGCCGCTGGCGAGTATTGTATTTTGTTGATGTTATAATGATTACAATTTCATTTCAAACCTCCGTTTTGGTTATTCCTCATTCAGTAACGTTTTCTAGGTTACAACAAATGAGAGAAAGAACAGATGGAGTAAAAATTCACTGTTCGTAGCATCTACTTTTTAAAAAGTACTCAATACAAAGTAGAGCAATATATTATTATTTTATTATTATTATAAGAGATTATAATAAAAACATTTTGAAATCGCTACACAAATAGCTTTCATGTTTCAATACTATGACTGTACTTCTTCAGGCGATAGTAAGTAACTGATGATTAAATGATTTTAAGAAAATTTAAAAACAAAGTGTTACAGCTTTTTCGAAATTTGAAGGGCGGTGGGACATAAGGTCAGAATTATCAAACTTGTGATATACTCACAAGTTTGATAATTCTGACCTTATATTTCCTGCATAGCCTCCCAAAAATAATTCACTTAGTAAGATTGTTAACAGAAATATACTAAAACTAAGCTACAGCTGAATCGTGCTTCTTATGTTTACATGAAAAATTAGAAACCATCAAATTTGCTGATAGAAATCCCTATTAAGCCAAAGAAATTAATTAACTGTAAATCGCCGACACAGTTTATATTTTACCTTAAGATATAGTTAAATTTTAAAAATATTACATTTTAGCAATTCCTATGGCCATAATTTATTAGTATATAATGGGCAACCTTCTGTGGGTAATTACCCCTATTTTATTGATCCAGATTTAATATTCCTATATATTGCCGTCCAGTTAGTATTATTAATGTCTTATATAGATATTCGAGATTTGTAATTTATCTCTAGTTCCCTATAAGAAGCTTACTGAATCTAAAAATAAAAAAGAAAATTTCTGAGTTTTTCCTGCTAACTTTACGTCTGATTAACCTGCCCCTCCTTTCAACGCCCTTTCAAAAAAATTGAACATGACATATTTGTCTGCAATGACGATAAATTCTCGCTGACATATTTTCCGCAATCGTCAATGATGGCCTGTCTATGATTCGGTTTACAACGACATGAAAAATAACTCACCCACCTCCATTCTTTCTGCTTACTTTTCTATTTACCGTAGATCTGGCATTCTTTGGCTTAATAGGGATTTTTATCAGCAAATTTGATGGTTTCTAATTTAACTTGAAGAAGAACAGTACAGAAACGTATTATGGCATAAAAACCAAGAAATTTTATATGATAGATTTAAAATAAAAACAAAAACACACACCAGTCGACCAGTTTTGTTCCTTCTCATCAGAACTGTTAACGGAGAACACAAATTATGAAGAGAAAAAAAAGAAAGTCTGTCATGGATGACGTGAATGAATGGACAGGGAGAAAAATATAATTATAAAAATTATACCAATAAAGATGCTAAAAGCGCAGCACAGCAAGTCCAACCAAACAGTCTCTTTGTTTACAAAGAGCGAGTCGCCTGGACCTGATGTACAGCGTCTCCAACACCTTAAGATGGAATAATGAGTGTGCTCTGGCCAGAACAGAGAACCAGCTCGCACAAGTGGCATTCTTCATAAAATGATCCTCAATCGAAGACCCATACGTGTTACGAATGGTATCGCCCAACGAAAAGTTTTTATTCAGTATTATAGCAAGTACGTGCTGTTTAATTCTAACGTCCAAACGCTGTATATATATATATATATATATATATATATATATATATATATATATATAATTTAAAAAAAAAAACAGACCACTTTAA